TAATAAGATCTCTGAACAGGTTTATTAAAAAAAGAGTTGAGTTCTACTTCTAGACAACAGTGGTCGGAATTCCTCTCACTTTCCTCAGGGACCTGGGGTGGAGGGTGTTGCAAGCAGCAGTCACATGTGACCATAGATTAAGGTGGTTCATGCAGTCCAACCCAACTGTTTATTTCGCAATGCTGTGGGAGAGTGCACCCCCTTTTTACAGTTGCTTAAAGAATTTGTGCTTGTGCTTGAAGTTCATTAAATGTTTAATTCATGACAAGGGTAATTTGGTGGAGGTTTATTTAAAAATACTGGAGTTCCAAAGGTGCAGTTTGTGGCGTAGTGGTAGTGCCCCTATCTCTGGGTCAGGACGCCTGGGTTCAAACTACAACTGCTCCAGAGGTGTGTGATAATATCTCTGAACAAGTTGATTAGGAAAAGAATTAAACAAAAGCTGAGTTTCAATAGTTGTTAACTGGGCAATTTGGTAGTGGGCTTACAAAAAATGTTGAGTTCTAACTGTCATTAGTTATTCAGGTGATCTGTTGGTGGGTTTTTCAAAACAAAAACTGAGTTCTGTAATGTCCTTTCGGGAAGAAAATCTGCCAAACTTTCCTGGTGTGGCTTACGTGTTGACTCCAGATCAACAGCAAAGTGATTGACTCTTAACTGCCCTCTCGGCATTTAGGGATGGGCAATAAATGCTGTCTCAGCCAGTGACACCCATGTCCTCTGAACAAATTTTTTTTTAAAAAGCCCAGATGCCTGTAGGTAGGGAACACATGGTGTCCACCAGTTCCCTTAAAGCCTTCCAAGAAAGATGAGCAATGAGGAAACTAATGTGCGTTATAAACATAGAACATACAACAGTACAGCACAGTATAGGCCCTTCGGCCCATGATGTTGTGCCGACCTATTATCCTACTCTAAAATCAAACTACCCTGCATACCGTACATTTTACTATCATTCCTGTGCCTATCCAAGAGTCGCTTAAATGTTCCTGTGTTATCTCCCCCTCCAGCACTGTTTTGATTTAGTTCCCTCCCTTGTTTGCACACATTTTTGGTTTTTGTTATTGTGACATGTCCCTTGGCAGGCAGTGCTTGTTATTTATTATTTATTTAATTAGTTACTTGGGTTACATGGTGTTGATTTTTTAAAAATAAAACACAGAGCTGATTTCTACTTTTGTAGTGCAGTGGTAGCGTCCTAATTCTGGGTCAGAAAGCCCAGGTTCAAGTTCCACCTGCTCCAAGAGTGCCATAACAGACTTGATCTAAAACAAAAAGAGTCGAGCTCTCTCCTTCTCCCATTTTTGATTTTTGTTATTATTACACTGGTGGGAAGTGTTTGTTAATTGGCTTTTTGTTAATTTGATGGTAGGTTGATTTTTTTTTAAAGCTGAGTTCTTGGGGCTGGGGTACATTACCTCCTCCATCAACACTTTGATTTAGTTCCCTCCTTTACTTTTCCCCTTTGTTTTGCTTTGTTTCACACTGATCCTGATGGGCATTTTTTTTTAAACTGAGTACTTCCTTATTGGGGTGTTGCCTTTTGGACAGGGAAAGTGTTCAGAAAGGAAATTTGGAAGCTGATGTTTGTCCTAAACTATAGACTTACAATGAAATCTTTGTATTTGTTTTGGGCCTAATTCAATATATGGATATCAGTATATGGAACACCCTTAATCTTCTCAATTGCAGGGAGTTCAACTCTTGCATGTTTAATCTCTCCTCAAAGTGTAATACTTATAGTCCTGGCATTAATCTAGGAAATCTATTTTTCAAAACCCCCAAGACCAATATATCCTTCCTAAAGTTTTGTGCCCAAAATTGCACACAGTGATATATGGTGTTGCCTAAACAGGGGTTCGTACACCTGAGGCATAATTTCTTTGCCGTTGTCTTTTACTCCTCTAGACATTAAAGCCAGAACTTCATTAAGCATTTTTCATATTTTTTTTGTCTGTCATACAGTCATAATATAATTCACTGCAAAGAGTCAGGCAATAAATTCATTAACTCCATACTAGCTCTCCATGGAATATCCAGTCAGTCTTATTCCCCCACTCTATCCAAATAGCCCGACAATTTATTTCCTCCAAATGTTCATCAAATGCCCTTAAATTAACTGTTTGTCTGGACCCAAAGCTTCTTTTAAATCCAGTGTTTTGTGCTTTTCATCATTTTGAAAATACAGTATTCAATCCGTTTCCGGTCCATCTGTCTTTGGAGGTGGCAGAACATATTGAAAGAGCAGTTTGCAAAGCATATGGGATCTTAAACATCATAAGTAGAGATATTGAATACTGAAGCAGGAAACTTATATTGAGCCTGTACAAAGCTCTGCTTAGGCCACAACCACAGTATTGTGTGCAATTCTAGTCAACACATTTTAGGAAGGATGGGAAAGTCCCTGACAGAATGCAGAGGCAATTTGCCAGAGTGAGTCGAAGGATGAGGGATTTTAGCTACAAGAATAGGGTGGAGAAGGTTCTTCTAGGACCAAAGGAGATTCAGGGGAGATTATGTTAGAGGTGTACAAGATTATAAAATAAGGTAGACAAAGAAAATTGGGTTCCAATTAGCTGGTGCAAGAATCAAGGACACAGATAAAACGATCTGGACAAAAAGTGCAGAGTATGATGTGAAGTTGTCTGATGACAACTAACTGATCTTAAAGATTAACTATACTCTGTCCACAGCTGTTATCAGACATTCTGAGGCTTTCCAGGACTTGCTAATCTTATTTCAGATTTCCAGCATCTACAGTATTTTGTTTCTGTGTAGGCCAATTAAAACCACATTTAAGGGTCACTTTTAGAGTCAGCTGATTTTTTTTTTCCTGGGATTTAACCGGCTGCTGAGTCTGGAATTCAACAACAATTTGGAGATAGTGTCGTTGATGCCTCTCTTCTCAGTGGCACAATAAATGAGCCACCAGTATGAAAAGGGCATAGCTACGGGCAGCATCGTGGCTCAGTGGTTAGCACTGCTGCCTTACAGCACCAGGAACCCGGGTTCAATTCCACCCTCGGGCAACTGTCTGTGTGGAGTTTGCACATTCTCCCCATGTCCGGGTGGGTTTCCTCCGGGTGCTCCGGTTTCCTCCCACAGTCCAAAGATGTGCAGGCTAAGTGTATTGGCCATGCTAAAATTGCCCATAGTGTTCAGGGATGTGTAGATTCAGTGGGTTATAGGAGAATGGGTCTGGGTGGGATTTTCTGAGGGTTAGTGTGGACTTGTTGGGCCGAAGGGCCTGTTTCCACACTGTAGGGATTCTAAGATTCTAAGGGTAACACCATACCTGTGGCAGGGTTTCCTCTCTACACTGATGGACTTAACAGATATGGGAATATTTTAGAAACAACGATTATAGTATCATTAAGAGTAGATTAGTTATGGGCAAGGTCTGGGAAAGATAAATGATAAATATAATTCCAATAGAAAGGTCAGAGACATAGCACTGAATTTTGCCACTGAGACAAATGCAGTCTGGATGCTGTGTCAGCTGGATTCTCAAGCCTTCACTTTGTATTACCTTCACACTCAAGTACTTCATATTTGACCAGTAAGTTTGTGGATAATATAAAAATTGTTGAGGTGGCAAATAATGAGGATGACAGCCTAAGATTACAGGAGGATATGGATGAGCTGATCAGATGGGATCATCATTGGCAAATAGAATTCAATCCAGATAAATGTGAGGTGATGCACTTGGTTAGGCCAAAACTAGAGTATTGTGTGGAGTTCTTGAACCACATTATAGGGGGGACGTGACTGGACTGAAGAGGAGATTTACCAGGATGTTGCCTGGGCTGAAGAGTTACAGTTACGAAGAGAGATTGAAAATACTAGGGATGTTTTCCTTGGAGCAGAGGAGACTGAGATGCATAAAAGTAAGCACATATCCTTATAATGAGAAATATACAAATAATAACAAAGGGTGACAAAATTGATTGAACTGGAAAGTTTGAAAATTAACTTAAAATGAATATCAAAACCATCAAACAGTTTTAAAGTTGCATTATGAGTAAAGGGTAATCAGGAGGGATGTAAACCCCTTTGAAACTGAGAAGCATGATATTTGCAATTAAAATAAGAATATCGTGGATATCTGAATTACATTGTGTCAGTATTTAGTGTGGAGAAAGAGGTCAGCATGCCTTAAATCCCAACAGAACTGTAATGGAATCAATGCATTGTCAGGGCAGACAGGAAGAACTTTTCTCCTTTGCGGAGTGACCATTGACAAGGGGGCCTACATTTAAGGTAAGGACAGGAGCTTTAGCGGGCATGTGAAGAAAGGTCTTTTTTCCACCCAGAGGGTGGTGGGAATTTGGCATTCACTGCCCATAAGGGTGATTGAGGCAGAAATCCTTATAACATTTAAGAAGCATTTAGATGTACACTTGCACTGCCAAGGCATACAAGGCTATGGGCCAAGTACTGGAAAATGGGATTAGAATAGGTACATGGTTGAGTCTGCATCAGTCAAAAACAATGAGCCAAAGGACCTTTTTCTGTGCTGTAGACCTCTATGACTAAGACATCCCTTTCTTCCTCAGTAATGTTAATCTATCCAGAGGGGCTTCCAGCCAGCAAGTGCTGTTGGCCCTATTATTCCATCCCCCCACTACTCATCCTGGGAATTTATTCAGCATCCTCAATTAGACAATGAACACAGAGGCTGCCAATTAGAAAATTGCATCACACTGCTCTGACAAATTCCTTGCAGGTAAATGGGATTTTGAGCCCTCATATCTGCCAATGAAGTGTTTTCAAAGAACAAAAACAAAGTTGCTGATAAAGCTCAGCAGGTCTGGCAGCATCTGTGGAGGAGAAAACAGAGTTAACGTTTCGAGTCCGGTGACCCTTCCTCAGAACAGTGTGTTTTCAAAGTGTGGGGGGAAACCTCAGCCTACAATCTCTGATAGACATAAAAGACAAACTCTAATACAAAAGGAAATTATGTCTAATGTTGAACATTATCCTTGTGACAGATGACTCACCTTCTCCCATTTATAAAATCTGTCTGCTTTGATAATCATATCAACCAAACTGATATGGTTCCCACGCGCTGCTATCTCTAAGGATGTTTTTCCTTGCTAAAACAAAAGTGGAAAAATCAAATTAATTTCATTCTTAATGTTTGACTAGTGAAAAATAACCAACAATTCTATCAAACAATTCTTAATCAATTCAAACCATACATTGAATATTGTTCCTCAGACTTGTGTTGCACCTAATGCCAAATCAGCTAAAAGTAATCAATCAAGTATCTTGGTGGAGTGGTGAGTTGGTACATGACAATTGCAGTTGCAATTCTAGGTCAACAATACTCCTTAAACAAAGACTCAAAATGTTAATTCATTCTTGCAGAGATTTCTTGAAGACTTTTTGTAAGGCTGATTTGAAGTTAACCTTCCTCATAGTAAATGAGCATGTTTGGGACTGTCACTTATTTTTATTCAGTCCCAGTTCACTCTTTATAAAAGTCACTGGGTGGCAAGTACAGAACATCATTGCTGTAGCACAAATTTTACGTAAGATTAGACTCTTATGAGGGACTTTATCAATTGCCTTCTACATGTTTATACGAGTTATATCTATAGGCACAAGTAATTATCTCCTGCGCACTACTTTAGTTTCTTTAAAAAAAATCAGCATGGCTCCTTTAGATGAGGTGGAAATTTTCAACGTGGCCATTACCCTATCCTTAATAAATAACACCAGCAATGTTTGATAATAGACGTTAGGCTATTTATAATTGTCATGATTTTCTCACTTAATTAAATAAGTCTCTTTAATTAAATAATTAAATCACGTGATTAAATAATGAAGTGACTGGCACAATATTCAAAGAGTTGTAAAATCAAGAGAATTTTGGAAAATTATACTTCCGGTCTTTTTTTTTCTTTTTTCATTCATGGGATGAGGGCATTGCTGGCTAGGCAGCATTTATTGCCAATCCCTAATTGCCCAGAGGGCAGTTCAGAGTAAACCACATTGCTGGGGGTCTGGAGTCACATGTAGGCCAGACCAGGTAAGGATGGCAGCTTCCTTCCCTAAAGGACATTAGTGAACTTGATGGGTTTTCCTGACAATCAACATTGAATTCATGGTCATCATTAGATTCTTAATTCCAGATATTTTTTACTGAATTCAAATTCCACCATCTGCCGTGGCAGGATTCGCACCTGGGTCCCCAGAACGTTATCTGGGACTCTGGATTAACAGTCCAGCGATAACACTACTGGGTCATTGTCTCCTCCCACCCCCCACCCTGATCTGTTGTATTCTCATCATTTTTCTTGGTGTAGAAATAATTTAGCATCGATTCCATTACAGTTCTGTTGGGATTTAAGGCATGCTAACCTCTTTTTCCACACGAAATATTGACACAATATAATTCAAATATTCACCATATTCTTATTTTAATTGCCAATATCATGGTTCTTAGTTTTAAAGGGGTTCACATCCCTCCTGATATCCTTTATTCATAATGCAACTGTAAAACTGTTTGATGGTTTTGATATTCATTGTAAGTTAACTTTCACACTTTCTTGTTCAATCAATTTAGTCACCCTGAATTATTATTTCTTTATTTCTCATTATAAGGATATGTGCTTACTTTTTTTGCATTTTTGTATGTTTCTTCTGATTGTTTCTATATGCTTTTTCCAGTCTGCAAAACACCCTTAACCAATACTCTATTTTCTGCAACCAAAAGACTATTAAAAATAAGAATAGGAACAAGCCATTTGGCCCTTCGAGCCGGCTACACTATTCAATAGGATCATAGCTGATCTAACATTCCTCAAGTCCACTTTCCTGCCCTTTCCCCCAACCCCTTGAATCTCCTACTGAAATAAGAATCTATCTATCTCAACCTTAAATATACACAAAGATGCTGCCCTCAGAGCTCTCTGCGGCAAGGAGTTCTAAAGACTCAATTCTCTGAGAGAAGAAATTCTTCCTTATCTCAGTCTTAAATTGCATGCCCCCTTTATTCTGAGATTATAGCCTCTAGTCCTAAATACTACCATGAGGAAAAATATGCTGTCAGTGTTTACCCTGTCAAGCCCTTTAAAAATCATGTATGTTTCAAAGAGGCCACTTTTCATTCTTCTAAACTCCAGTGCGTAGAGTCTAACTTGTTTAGCTTTTGCTCATAAGACCTCCATACCAGGGATCATCCTAGTGAACCTTCTCTGAACTGCCTCTAATGAAATAATACCTTTCCTTAAATAAGGGACCAAAATGTCTCACAGTCCTCCAGATGTGGTCTCACCAGCATCTTGTACAGTTGCAGTAAGACCTCCTTGTTTTACTTTAACCCTCCTGAAATAAGAGCTAACATTCCATTAGCCTTCCTGATTATCTGCTGCACCTGTGTTTTACCCGTCTTTTGTGCATAAGCACCTCCAAGTCTCTGCATGCTACAGCTTTCTGCAGTTTTTCTCCATTTAATTAATATTCTATTCTTTTGTTCTCCATTCCAAAATGAAGGACTTTGCAATTTCCCACATTACACACCATGTGTCAACTTTTTGCTCACTTACTTAATCTATCAATATCTCTCTGAAAGCTGTTTGTTTCCCTCTCACAACCTGCCTTTCCACCTACTTTTCTGTTGTCTGCAAAATCTGTCTACGCTACATTCGCTTCCTTCCTCCAAGTCATTAATATGTATTGTAAATGGTTGTGGTCCCAGCACTGATTCCAGTGGAACTCCACCGGTCACAGATTGACAAAGAACACCTTATCCCCACTTGTTGTTTCCTACCTATTGCTACTTCTCTACCCATGCCAAATAGTTAAGTATTCATGTTTCTATTGTTCCTTTGATGATGTTAGAAAAAATTGTGTATGATACACAAGTGAATTCTTCAAGCAAGAACCAGGTCAAAAGCAGCAAAGTTAGAGGGCAAGTGAAACACAGAAACATAGAAAAGAGGAGCAAGAGTGGACCATTTGGGCCATCAAGACCATTCTGCCATTCAACATGATTGTGGTTGATCCTCTACCTCAACACAATATTCCCACTCTTTCCTCATACCCCTTGACACCTATAGCCTCTGAAAATCTAACAAAATCTGACAAAGAGAATATGAAATAGAATGGTAGTTAATGTGAAAGGAAATCTGAAACTTTTCTGTCAGCATGTAAATAGTAAGTGAGTAGCAAGAAACGGATTCTATAAAACAGAAAGATGGTGATAACATTAATTTAAAGGAGCCATCTCAAACTTGTAATAAACAGATCATGCTGACTGATTTAATTGAGTTGTTTTCATGAAGCAAAACAAAAGCTGGTTAAGGAACATTGGACATTGGCACATTCTTAAAATATAAAAAAGGTACCACATAAAGGTTGGTTTTAAAAACATGTGATGCATGAAATAGGAGGGTCAGCATTCACATGCATAAAAAAATGGTTTAAGGATATAAACAGTGAGTCATGCAAAATTGTCTTTAAGACTGGAGGACTGTAGATGGTGGGATTTCCTGAGGTTCACTGCTAGGGCCCATTGCTTTTTTGATATATTGGATTTTGAAATAGAGTAAAATTTTAACATTTATTGTATGTTACCAAGCTTGGAGGTATTGCTGACAGTTAAAATGGCACCATTATCTATAATAGGACCTAGATAAGCTAGCAGAATGAGTGACAAGTGCAATGGGAAGGGAAGGTGGTGGTAATGTCACCAGGCTAAAATCCTGGGATATTGGATTTGAATCCTACCGTAGCATATCAGCAAAAATCATCTGGTTCAATGCCGACCATGAAACCATTGTCAACTGTCATAAAAACCCATCTAGTTCATCCATGTCTGTTAGGGAAGGAAATCTGCTCTCTTTACCTGGTCTGGCTCCAAGTGACTCCAGACCCACAGCTCTTAACTGGCCGAGCAAGCAGCTCTGTTCAAGGGCAATTTGGGATAGACAACAATGTCCACATCCCATATAAAAATAAAAAAAACATTAATACAAATGTGAAGTGTTCCATTTTGGCATAAGGGATAGGAAAATAAACAACATGTATGTAATAGCACAATTCTAAATAATGTGCATAAGGGATAGATAAATAAACAACACGATGTAATAGCACAATTCTAAATAATGTGCAGGAAAACAGGGACCTGGTTCAAATGCATAGATTCTAGAAGTTGCCAGAATTTGTCAACAGATTAAATAGGGAAACAAATGGGACTTTAGGGTTCAATAACTTAAGTATATAATACAAAAGCAGGGAGGTAATGCTGAACATTAATGAAGCTATGGCTAGGTAACAATTAAACCATTACATTCAGTTCTGGTCGCCAACTTTAGGCTATCAGAGGCCATACCTGATGCAGATTTACCAAAATGTTTTCAGGGATGAAGGATTTTAGCCAGAACATTAGACTGGTGAAGTTGGACAAAGAAGGCAGGAGAGATATGACAGGTGTACAAGATTACGGCAGATTTTGTAGGCAGAGAAAGGCTGATCTTATTAGCAAGGCTTAGGGGACAGGGTTCAAAGCTTTGAGAAAGAGATTCAGTGGAAATGTGAGGAAGAACACTTTTTATGCAGTGAGCGGTGATGACCTGGATGTCTCTGCCCATGATGGTACTGGGAGTAGTGCTGACAAGATGGCGGCAGTGTAATACGCTCCTGTCGGAGCTCCTCTGCTCCACCTATTATTTTTCTGCCTTTTTCATTTTTTCCTCTTTTTTTCTTCTTCTCTCCCCTCAGCACCAGAGCCAGCAACGAGTCCAGTGCAACGAGTCCTCGTGCCTCGGAGCTCTGTGAGCAGCGAGCCCTGCAGCAGCACGGGGAAGAGTTCCACAGCAGCACGTGGGGAAGCAGCCCCAGAGGATCGCATGGGAGCAGGCAACACAAGGCGGCGATGGAGAGGCCGCGTCCCCAGAGCACTGAAGGGACCGAAGGACAGTCTCAGTGGCACGGCATGGGCTGGGAAGGTTGGAGCGGGACATTCTCAGTGGCACAGCATGGGCTGGGAAGATTGGAGCGGGACATTCTCATAGGCACAGCATGGGCTGGGAAGATTGGAGCGGGACATTCTCAGTGGCATGGCATGGGCTGGGAAGGTTGGAGCATG